TTCAGAAACTGAATCCCAACCCAAGACACGTTTTGTTACCATTATGAGGTGACAGGGAAACATGGGGGGCTGAGTGTTGCTTATATTTTTATGCTAGAGATTGGCGAACGAAGTTTTAAGTGTAGAACTAGCTCGTGGGACTGTAATGAACTACATTTCCCAGAATCCTCTCCGCCCCCACAACGACATCCGTTGCCATAGATACTACCAATCCACTACAGTAAAAGGTAGGAGAGTGTGCTTTTAAAGAGCCGGACTCCAGCAATCCGTTGCCAAGATACAAATTTTGGCACATGCTCAGTAGAGAGCGCTTGGAATGGGGACGTTTGGGAGAGGTGGAGCCGAAGCTCCAACCCAAAGGATTCTGGAAATGGTAGTTTCCGGCCTCCTCTCCCTCTCCCCGCCCCCCCTGCCGGCGCAGGCGCACTTCTCCTAAGGCAAAGCATCCTGGTCGCCTTGGTGACGTTGCTCCGGGCACGCATGACGTCACCCTCACCAAGCGCCCTGGCGGAGGGGGTGGCGGGGGGAGCAGGGCTACAGCAGAGAAGTCAAAGATACTCGACCTCGCGTTCCTTTCGTAAGCTGGTGTCCTGACCCAAGCGCACTCCGGCGAAGGCTCTAGCCTGGGAGTCTTAAGTTGGCAGTGTTGTTCACTCTACAAATCCAGGTACTCCCTTACCTTCCTCGCAACAGTGCACAATAAACGGATAATTAAATTGTGCAGAAATTATAGTGTGATGAATGCTCCAGGAGAGCACAGTCTGGGGCGGGAGAGACAGTTATCAAATGATAACAACGCAAATTATTATAATATCAGCGCTAGGTTTACTGGGACGGTCCTGTGGAATCCCTGGAGCGAGCAGAGTTGCGAGCTCCCGCCGGGCTGGGTGGGGAGAGGGGAAACGTTCCCATAGGAATGGCTGTAACAGCTTGTTGCAAGTACCGTTGTTTTCCAAGAGAGATAGAAAGAACGTTCCTGACAGGGGGAACAGCGCACACAAAGGTCAAGAGGTCGGAACTATTAATAACTTTTAAAAATAATATTTAATGTTGATAATATTGATGGCAAACATGAAGGTGGTGTTGTCTGTAACATACTGGTTTTTAAGTGTTTGTTTATGTTTATTTTTAAGAGAGAGAGTGAGAGCAGGGGAGGGGCAGAGAGAGAGGGAGACTGAGGATCCAAAGCAGGCTGGGCAGAGTCAGCACAGAGCCTGATGCAGGGCTCAAACTCAAGAAACGCGAGGTCATGACCTGAGCCAGACGCTTCACCAAGGAGCCACCCGGGCGCCCCTATTTATTTTTGAGAGAGAGACAGAGCAAACGGGAGGGGGAAGGACGGGGGGGGGGGGGGGGGGGGGGGGCGAGAGAGAAAGAATCCCAAGCAGGCTCCGTGTTGTCAGTGCAGAGCCTGATGCAGGGGTCAAACCCACGAACTGTGAAATCATGCCCTTAGCTGAAATAAAGAGTCCAACATTTAACAGACTGAACCACCCAGGCGTCCCTGTAACATTCTGTTTCAATGGCTTTACTTATATCAACCGATTCAAATCTCATTTATTTATTAAGGTAATTATTATCTCCCCATATACAATAGGGGAACGGAGGTATAGAGAGGTTGATGACTTTCAGTGTTACACAACGAATACGTGGGGTTAACCATTATGCTGTGTGTCCCTTGCCCCGGGGTCCTAGAGTAATTGATCCCTTACTACCTGCGAAGCACTGTGCTGATTGACTTCTATACAACATCAAATCCTATTGGACCAAGGCCCTACCCTTTTGACCTCATTTGATCTTAATTACTTCCCCAAATGCCCTACCTCTAAGTAAAATCAATTGAGGGTTAGGGTTCAATATACGAATTTGGGGGGACACAAGCATTCAATTATAGCACACTCCCACATCCCACCCTTGCATGCCAGCCACAAAGAGCTCCTTATATCTCTTTCTCCCCTCTAGGCTTCTGTTCGCTGTGTTCCCTTTGCTTGGAACAACCCACCTCATTCTCTGCCTTCATTGGTCACATTTATGTCTCTTCGCCCATTAGTTCTTGTCTTCCAAGTTACAGCCAAGTTGAGACCTCCTCCAAAAGTCCTCCGTGATTGTCCAGACTGGGTTGAAGGCCCTCCTCTGTGTTCATACGTTGCCCTGGGCTATCTCCCATCAAGCACACATATTATTACACTAGGTCCTAACTACCCGTAACCATGTCTTTATCCTGTATCCTAATCCTAGCAATAGTGATTGGTCCAAGGGGTGGGCCCAAGATCCAAGAAGGACCAATCAGGACCCTTCCCTGGGATTGCTATATGAACTCCATTGCAACCGTGCTACTTGCATCAGCCAATGAAATGCAGATGAAAGTGACATATGTCATTGAGCTCATTTAACTTGCATGACCACCCAGTGAAGGAGGCATTGCTCCCCCACTTTAGAGACAAGGATACCTACAGGGAGGATTCAAGTAACCCATACAAGGCCCAGAGCTAGTTAAGGACAGAAGTAGGGCTAATGTCCATGTAAAAAGAGGACGAGACACCAGAGCTCTCTCTCCACATGCTCCTGTACCAAGGAAAACCCATAAATTTCTGTTAAGTCGTTCAGTCTATGGTATTTTGTGATGGCTGTCTGAGCTAAGATAGAATGTCATGAAGCAAAGCAAGGCAGACTCCAGGCTCACGTAACTTCAGATACAGAGGGTGGAGGAAGGGCTGGGTCTGCTCTGGGTGCAGAAAGACCATTCTGGGGGCTGTGTGTGAACGAGCCTGGAGGGGAGACACTGGGGGGCCAGGAGGATTGGGATGAGACCGCAGTGAAGTTTTAGGATGTGAGGACAAGGCTTGAGCCGGGACCAAGTTCATGGGCAGGGAGAGGGCAGCAGAGCTGAGGAGTCTGGCAGTAAGAAGAGGGGCTTCACTGGACTCTCTGTCACTCGTTGGGTCTTTGAGTGTTGGGGCTGCAAAGGTCTCTCTGGGGCTGTTTGACACATCTTCACGGGGTGGTTGTATGAGTTAAATAAGCTAATAAAACTCACTGCCTGTTGTCAGTAAGTGACAGCTATTCTTCCGTTTTGCCCATGGTTCATCCAACTTTTACTCATGTGTACACATATATTTTACATCTTTACAAACATGAAGGATCTATAACTTTGAGATTTTTCTTCTTTTAACCTTCATTTGCAAGTGTCGCCCCATGTTACCGTGCAGTCATCATAATTATTTCAGGCTTGACAACATTTCATAGGCGGGATATACCTTTATTTAATCACTGCCCTGAGTCTATATAACTGAAAATAACTTTTTATTAGTTGGTTCTGATTGGAGATGGCCCCCTCCAAGTGACAATTCAGGGACCTAGGCTCCTCCCATCTTCACATAAGACTTCAGCAGAAGAAGAAAGACTGGGGAAGGTAACAAGTGGGAGGTCTGGGCATGGCATACGTGTCTCTTCTCTCATTTCATTAGCCAGAACTTAGTCACGTGACCACCCCGACTGCAAGGGCATATGGGAAATGTAGTCTAGCTGTGTGCACAGAAAGTAGGGAAAAGGCTTTGAGGAAGAGCTATTTGCCACACATTATCCTAATGAGGGATTATAGTGAAGAAAACGTAGGTGCAGAGAGTGGAAGAGAACTTCCCCAGATCACAAAGAGATTAAAATCTATCAGGCAAATTTTATTGGCACTAAAATCCAAATACCCACCCCCCCTTTTTTTCCATTAGAGTTTTCATCATTCTTGTTTGAAAAGAGAAAACCTATTGTGTTTTTTTAAAATGTTTATTTATTTTTGAGGGAGAGAGACAGACAGAGAGTGGAGGGGTGGGGGCAGAGAAAGAAGGAGACACAGAATCCAAAGGAGGCTCCAGGCTCTGAACTGTCAACACAGAGCCTGATGCGGGGCTCGATCTCACAGACTGCGAGATCATGACCTGAGCCAAAGTCAGGCGCTCAACCGACTGAGCCACCCAGGCGCCCCAACCTATTGGTTTTTATTGATTAAGTTTGTACCCAGTAATTTTACTTAATTATTTTATGGTTTTTCATAACATTTCAATAGATTCTCTGATTTCCAAAATAGCAATCATATCATATTCAAAGAAGGATGAAATTCCAGACTTCTCCATTCCAATTATATACCCTTTCTTTCTCTTGTCTAACTGCACCGATAGTTTTTCCAAAAGTGGTAATGCTGGATGGTTTGTTCTCTTTGGACGGACAGTTTGTTCTGACTTTCATGGGGAAGCTTTTGGTGTTTTAGCATTACGCCTGATTTTGGGTTTTGATTATATGTATATAATTAAAAACAAGGGAGAGACAAGTAACTCCTTAAGATTTTTGTCATTACTGTTCAAGATGGGCCCATTCTTAAATATATTGAGTTTATGTAGAAATGGATGACTACTGAACATTCTCAAAACCTCTTTCATATCCATGATTATGTATTACATTGTATATCAATTAGCAAATTATATAATAGCCCAATATCGAACCATCCTTGCATTCCTGGACACACATCTTCCAGCTCCCACCGTAGGGGTCTATTTCTTATAGAGGTATTAGGTGACAGGTGACACTGAGGCAAACAGGGAGCGGATGCCCAGGGATATTGCGTAATTCAGTGACAGACTCAATTCATTCACCATCAGTTTAGATGGGGTGAACTTCCACGTGTCCTGTGGACTTCAGCTACAGGGGAAACTTGGGTTAAATGGGTTAAATGGACTTTGACATCACCTCCTGTGGAGGGCAGTTAAAAGACTCTAGCTAAAATGGGAATATTACTGACGGTGTCAGTACAGCCAGATATTTCTCAGTACCGGGTTCCCCCCGGCCCCGCATCGTACTTCCAGCCTCCATTTCCCAGCATTCCCCCGCCCGTAGAGACCTTAGGTCTGGAGGAGGGTGAACCCGCAGAGGTTCCTGGGAAATGTAGTCCAACTGCGAAGCCGCGTTTAAAGACCCAAGGTTTAAATAGTTCCGAGACCGCAACCGCGCAGGCGCATTCCGCGGCCCGCCAGAGGGAGGGTAAAGGCCTGGCCGTCCAGCGCCACCCACGGGGGCACACAGGTGAGTCCCGACCTGGTGGCCCGGAGTCTGAGCTGGTGGGTGCGGGCCGTGCCAGGCAGGCTGGCGGGCACTCAGAGGCGGGTCCGAGTCGTGCCTGGGTGGGCGCTGTGGGCGGCGTCCCGCCCCCTCCTATCACTCTGGAGGGCGCCCCCGGGCGCCTCTGCCCCCCGCGCCGCTTGGAGGATCTCAGCGCGTAGGAATTGGGCGCCTGCTGTTTGCCTGAAGTCAGGCGAGCGCGGTCTCCCCGAAGGGATCCTGTACGTTTCCTCACTCTGCAGGTCAAGAAACAGACTCTGCGGCTTCTCCCAGGTCCCAGGGGTCGGCCTGGGATCACACCCTGGGATGTCTGACCCGAAAGCCTCCGCGTGCTCCGCACAGTCACGGCCTCCGCTTCTGTCCTCCTTATCCTGAGCGTGTTATCTGGGTCTCTCATCACTTTCTGATCTCCCTGCCCCCCACCCCAACCCCCATTCAGCCCCCCTCTCTTTGTGTCTCTGCACAGCCCCCTTCCTCAGGAGTCTGTGTTTTGGTTTTGTTTGTTTGTTTTTTCTAGAAACAAGGCCATTTTCTTCCAAAACCGCAGCACCGTGATCTCATCAGGACAGTAACATCGGTACAAACTATTAGCTAATCCACAGACCTTCCGATGCTGCTAATTGTCCCAATAACGTACTCGATGGCAAAAGAAAATCCCATATCACACACCGCGTTAGGTATTAGGTCTCTAGAACAGTTAGTTTTTCAGTCTTTCTTTGGTCTTGATGATCTGTGCAATGCTGAAGATTATGGGCCAGGTTCTTCTGGAATGTCTTTTAGTTTGGCTTTGCTCAGTGTTTCCTTGTGATTAGATTTCGGTTTGGCAGGAATACCTTAGGCAGGAATACCTTATTTATTTTTGAGAGAGGGAGAGAGAGAATCCCAAGCAGGCTCCATGCTGTCCACACAGAGCCAGACGAGGGGCTCGATCCCACAAACTGTGAGATCATGACTTGAGGCGAAATCAAGAATTGGAGGCTTAACTGGTTGGGCCACCCAGGAGCCCTTTCTTTTTTGTAATTATTGACTTGTGAGGAGATACGGGAGAGCCTGTAAGACTCTGTTCCGAATCAGGATTTCACCTACTGGTTTCAGCGTGAGCTGCGTGCGCCCCTGTGTCACCGGGTGTAGTGAGGCGTTTGCCTGGAAACACATGAGATTGAGTCTTTTTGTTTCTAGACTGTATCAGTTGCCCGTTGCTGCCGTAACAATTTACCACGAATTTGGTGGCTTCCAACAACACAGATCTGTTCTCTTACAGTTCAGGGGGTCAGAGTGGTGCTCCCTCTGAAGGCTCTAGCGGACAATCCGTTTCCTTGCCTTTTCCAGCCTCTAGAGGCTTCCGCGTTCGTTAGGTGAGGCCTCTTCCTCCGGCTTCAAAGCTGGAGGGAGAGCGTCTTCTCTCTCTGACTCTGCTTCTCTTGACTTGCCTCACGTGGCCTTCTCCTCTGAGTCAAATATCCCTCTGTCTCCCTCCTATCAGGACACTTAGGATTGCACCTAGGACCCAACCCGGATGATCCAGGATAATCTGCCTATCTAAAGGTGCTTAACTTAATCACATCACGGGTCCATCCTACAAGATATCTTTTTAGGGCCACTATTCAGCCCACCACCTGGTCTATGTCCAGGCCTGCCTCCCCCACCGGGCAGGGAGCCCCTTTAGGGCAGAGCCGCACGTCACCCATCGTTCTGTCCTCCGATGAGTATGTCACCCTCACGTGAGTCTCAGAGTGTATTTGATGAATGAGTGGAGGTGACCATAGTCTGAACACCAACTTGTCTTTGGCAGAGATGTTTTTGGGGGGAGGGATTTTTAAGCTTTATAATCTTTAAAAAAAATTTTTTTTTTTTAAATTTACATCGAAATCAGTTAGCATCTAGCGCAACAATGATTTC